GAATCAGGTGTCTGAATACATCTCCACTACCTTCCTAGGTGAGTGAGCCTGCACACGCTCTGCTCTGTACATCTCAGCCTTGCTGCTATATTCAGAAGTGCAGAACCTTAGTTTCAACATTGCAGTATGTTATACTGGAGTACATTCACTGCTCTGAAACACTCAATGCTTACCGATTTGAAATTAGCTGTCATCTTTTAAAGGTTTATGCATTGGTTGTGTCTCAGACAAACAGAATGAGGTGGAGATTCCCTCTCCTACACTCCGGGAGCGAGAAAAACCAATGTCTCACATCAGCGGTGTCAAGAAGCTTACACATAGCTCGAGCCTCACTAGTGCAGCCCTGCCCCGCTTCGGGGTCAAAACCGAGCAGGAGGACTCACTGGCCAGGGTACAAGCACAATGCATGCATACTAACTCAGAACTTTCCCAACACCCAATCCTCTACCATTACTACTAGTTATTGGTATGAAAAAGTCAGTTTGTCAAATGGATTTGATGATTTAATTTACTCTGTCGTCACAGGAGCTGAATGACTTAAACAAGTGGGGCCTTAATATCTTCCGTGTGGCTGAGTACTCCAATAACAGACCTCTAAGTTGCATCATGTTTGCTATCTTCCAGGTGTGTGGTCCCTGGTTTTTTCCTGTGTTGTTCTGTACATGTCAGATGCAAAGTGGTCTGTGTGGTTTTGTATGCTCATTACTAGAGGTGGGTAAAAATATAGATTTTCCAATTATCTCAACTTGAACAATCACAATATCTTTCTTAAAATCCCCAAATCAATCTTTTACACAATGCCTATTTTCAGTGGCTGTGTGGAAATGTGCTTGAACTTCCTGTCCTGCAAATGCCACTGTGTTCTGCTGAACTAACTCACTCAGCTACAGAGTTCATTTTTTTAATTTATATTTTCATAATATTTCAAGTCAGAATGTTCCCTGTATCAGTGTTCCTGCTGAGTTGTGAATGTAAGTTTGCAGTCTGTTTTGAATGTGATGCAATAAAAAAAGCATTAGCAGAGAATTAATTTCCTTAATGCTGTATGTAAGCATAACTGACATTACAACTGAAATATACCAGCTGAACTGAATCAAATCAGACTTAAGGCCTTAAAGATAACAATAAAGTTATAGTTCATAAATCGTTCTCACTATTAAAGAATAGCAGAGTCCACACCACAGCTGTAACGATAAAGG